ATTCAACATATGTAAAACCATAAATGTAATACACTATTTTAACAGAAAGAAAGATAGAAACTATATGATTATAATAATTGATTCAGAAAAGCATTTGATGAAATACAACATCCTTTCATAATCAAGACCCTGAGCAAAATCAGCATAGAAAGGACATTCCTCAACACAATAATAGCTATCTATGAAAAACCCATAGCTAACATCATCCCGAATGGGGAAAATCTGAAAACTTTTCTGCTAAAAACTGGTACAAGACAAGGATGCTGACTTTCTCTACTCCTTTTCAATATAATACTGGAAGTCTTCACCAATGTAATCTGGAAAGACAATAAAATAAAAGGTGTTCAAATAGAATAAAGAAGAGTTTAAATTATCTCTATTTGCAGATGACATGACTGTAAAAGATCTAATTGTATCCATAAAAAAATCATAATCATAGATGAATATAGTAAAGTTGCAGAATACAAAATCAATATACATAAATCTGTCACATTTCTATATATGAACAGTAAGCAGGCTGAGATATAACTTAAAAAATAATTCCATTTACCATAGCCACAAAAAAAGTATAAGATATCTAGGAAGAAATCTAACCAAAGAAGTTAAAGACCTCCACAATGAAAACTGAGAAGCTAAAAAAGATATTTAAAATGACACAAAAAAGTTGAAAGATATGCTATGTTCCTGGATAGGAAGAATTGATATAATCAAAATGGCAATTCTACCTAAATTAATCTAAATATTTAAAATAATCTCAAAGTACCAGAGACATTCTTCATGGATCTAGAAAAGACAATCATACTATTTGGAATCATAAAAGACCTTGTATTGTCATAACAATCCTGTGCATGTAGAGTGGAGTGGGCAGCATCTCACTCTCTGACCTCAAAATATACTATAAAGCTGTCATAATCAATACAGCATGGTTTTGGCACAAAAACAGACAGGTGAACCAATAAAACAGAGTAGAGACCCCAAAAATAAACTCCCAAACATATAGCCAACTATTTTTGACAAAGGGTACCAGTCAATCTATTGGGAAAAGGAAAACTTCTATAGCAAATGGTGCTGGAAAAACTGGATATCCACCTGCACAAAGATGAAACTGAACCCCTTCCTCTCACCATTGACAAAAATCAACTCACGGTGGATCAAAGATCTAAATATAAGCCCTCAAACTATAAAACTACTGCTGGAAACTCTGAGAGACATTGGGGTGGGCAAAGACTTCTTAAATAAGACCCACAAAGCACAGTCAATACTCCTAGACAAGTGGGATTACACCAGATTAAGAAGTTTCTGCATGGCGAAAGACACAGTAATAAGTGTGAATCCACAGCCCTTGAATGGGAAAATGTTTTTGTAAACTATATTTCAGATAAGGTACTGATAACCAGAATACACAGGGAACTCAAGTGGCTTACCTGAAAAGATGATCAACCCAACTAAAAGATGGGAGAATGAGCTGAAAAACAACTCTCTAAGCAAGACATATGAAAAACCAAAAGATATATGAAAAATGCTCAATATCCCTCATTATAAGAGAGATGCAGATCAAAACCACAATGAGATACCACCTTAACCCATTTTGTTTGACTAAGATTTTTTTTAACAAAAAGATATTTGTTGGCATGAATGTGGTGAAAGGTGAACTCTCTTACACTGCTGGTGGGTATGTAAATTGGTCCAGCCACTGTGGAGAATAATATAAAGATTCCTCAAAGATCTACAAATAGAACTACTATATGATTTACCAGTCCCACTTCCTGGTATCTACACTAAGGACAGAGAATGCTTAATTTAAAAAGTGCTTGCAGATCAATGTTTATTGTGGCATTATTCACAATTGCTAAGACTTGGAGTCAACCCAAATATCCACAAACAGAGGAATGAATTGAAAAATTATGGCACATGTACTCTATGAAATACTACTCAGCCATAAAAAAAGACAAACAAACAAACAAACAAAGCAACAGGACTCCGGCTTTTGACAGAAAGTGGATGAATATGGAAGGTTTACTGCTGAGTGAAGCAAGTCAGGCTATGAAGAAGAGACATTTATGTCTCCACTTAATATATACCAACTTTCCACACTCTATAGTTGAAACTGAATGACTAGAGGATATAGAAACATAGAAAATAGTTAGAGATACCAGATACAGTGTGACAAGAGGGTGCGAGAAATAGGAGAGTATGAGGAAAGATATTAAGGAGAAAAATAGAGAGACAAGGCATTTATGGGACAGAGAAATGTGTTATTATCTGTTGGATAATGTGTATAGTATCCCCAACTGGACTGGTGAGAAATGTATTTATGTTGGAACGTTGACTTTACAAGTTAAGTGACATATGTTTTTGAATTTATAAAAGAAATTAAAATAAATTTTTAAAATATTTTTAAAAAATTCTTAACATCCCTTATCATGAAGGAGATACAAGTCAAAACCACAATGAGATACCACCTAACCCAAATCAGAATGACTAAAATTAAAATGAAATGGTAAATGATATTGAGACTGTAGTTTAAAGGGGATTATTCCACACTTTTGGTGAGAATGTAGATCAATACAGCTACTGAGGAGAACTTTATGGATAGTCCTTAAAGATCTATAAATAGAACTACCATATGATCCGGTAATTTCACTCCTGGGTATCTAGCAAAAAGACAGAAATGCACTCAGTCAGGAAAACATTTGCACATCCATGTTTATTGTGCCACTATTCACAATTGGTAAGATATCAACCAACTCAGATGTCCCAAAATAGGCAAATGGACTGAAAAAGTATGGCACATATTCACTTCAAATTTCTACTCAGCCATAAAAAAACAAGACTATTTCATTTGATAGAAAGTGGAAAATATGGATTTGATTTAATTTACTATTAAGGAACACAAGCACACCTCGAAAGAGAGACATTGTATGTCCTAACTCTATATACACGAATTGTCTGGACTCTGTGGCAGAAGCAAAAATTTTGTGTGATATAAAGGCATAGAGAGAAACTGTGGATACGAGAGACAATGTAGGAAGAGGGTGGAAAATGATGGAGGTGGGGAGGGAGGGAATCAAAGCGGAAAAGGAAGAAACAAAATAGTTAAGAAACACAAAATGGAAAATTACCTGAAGATGATAATATGTGTGGTAATATCTTTGATAGAATCAATAAACAATGTATTATAGATGGGAATATTCATTTTTATGCTGTGTTGATATACAATGATTGTAAAATAAAATAATAATTATAATATAATTAAAAACTTCCCAGAAACATTGTAAAATGACAGTTACTGTAAGCTGAGGGTAGATAAGCTTGGAAAATATTAGTTTAAAAGCATAAAATTTCAGTTAGACAAGAAGAATGAGTTCAAGGGATCATTGTACATGCTGCATTTAATAACAGTATACTGTGTACTTGAACAAGGATCAAAGAGTAGATATTATGTACAGCAAAAACATAAGTTATGAGGTAATGTATATGTTAAATGGCCTGATTTAGCCATTTCTCAAATTTTGCATCTATTTTACAGATTTTACAAAAATTTACTTGTGTTGGCATCTGCCAGCAAGCTTAAGAATAACATCTTTCTGGATGGTCTATTCACAATTGGTAAGATATCAACCAACCCAGATGTCCTAAAATAGGCAAATGGATTGAAAAAGTATGGCACATATTCACTTCAAATTTCTACTCAGCCATAAAAAAACAAGACTATTTCATTTGATAGAAAGTGGAAAATATGGATTTGATTTAATTTACTATTAAGGAACACAAGCACACCTCGAAAGAGAGACATTGTATGTCCTAACTCTATATACACGAATTGTCTGGACTCTGTGGCAGAAGCAAAAATTTTGTGTGATATAAAGGCATAGAGAGAAACTGTGGATACGAGAGACAATGTAGGAAGAGGGTGGAAAATGATGGAGGTGGGGAGGGAGGGAATCAAAGCGGAAAAGGAAGAAACAAAATAGTTAAGAAACACAACATGGAAAATTACCTGAAGATGATAATATGTGTGGTAATATCTTTGATAGAATCAATAAACAATGTATTATAGATGGGAATATTCATTTTTATGCTGTGTTGATATACAATGATTGTAAAATAAAATAATAATTATAATATAATTAAAAACTTCCCAGAAACATTGTAAAATGACAGTTACTGTAAGCTGAGGGTAGATAAGCTTGGAAAATATTAGTTTAAAAGCATAAAATTTCAGTTAGACAAGAAGAATGAGTTCAAGGGATCATTGTACATGCTGCATTTAATAACAGTATACTGTGTACTTGAACAAGGATCAAAGAGTAGATACTATGTACAGCAAAAACATAAGTTATGAGGTAATGTATATGTTAAATGGCCTGATTTAGCCAATTCTCAAATTTTACATCTATCAAAAATTTACTTGTGTTGACATCTGCCTGCAAGCTTAAGAATAACATCTTTCTGGATGGTAATATCTGATGGCGTTTACCCTGGAACTTGGTCCTGAATGGAAAAAGTTATAGAGAGGAGGAGACACAGAAGCAGAAATAGAGGTGAACACAGACAAGCTGTGCTGCTCAGTCATGCTGAACTTCATTATTTATACATTTTACCAGGTACAGTGAACTCTTTGCAAGCTTTCAAGGATGTGGTTGAAGTTATACAATATGGGTGGGTTGAAGTTCTGGTATGGGTGGGTTTTTTCATCTTTATGTCATGGAAAAGGAAGAAGCCATAGTACAACGATCTTTTCTGGTGAGCCCAATTCAAAACTTGTGATATTTTTGGTAAGTTCTTGGTTATATATATAAATATATGTAAAAGTATTTATGACTGTCATACACAGTTTGCAGTTGGGGTGTAGTTAGCACATTTGTGTGAGTGTGTGCATGTGAAATTAATACCACTGATAATAATGAAAACTGTGCACAGAAGTGACAGAAATGCAGAACAGTGAATTCAGATGTTCTTCCCCATTATCCTTTTACATTTCTTTTCTTCCTTTTCAGTTTCCCCACAATGCTTTCAAGACAAAGGATAGAAATTAATATAGTATATCATCCACTCCATCACTGCTGTCCCTAGTCATTGTGAGGCTCAGAATGAGTGGTAACTTTGGGACCTCAGCCCCTCCTGCAGCCAAGATCCATATGGTGAGGCCACATGAAGTTGGAGACACTGACCCCTGATGTGAGCATCAAGGGACTAACTTGGAGGCTTACAGCTGGTATTGTAGAAATGTGCCTTATGGAGAAGTCATGAGTGTCTGAGTACCACTACCCTATACAGATCATGTCCCACAAAAAGTTAGTTATTTAATGCTGTCAGGTATGAGACATTTGGGCTTGCAACCCACAGAGTCAAAAGCAATCAGTAAGAAAATTTATCAGAGGAGGGAACCAGCAGTTAGCGTAATGGCTATGTTACTGGACTCCCATGTAGTTGACCACGGTTCGCGTCCCGGACCTGGTGGCTTAGAACTCACGCCGGGCGTGTGTGCGTGCATGCCCAAGATCCTGAGAGGAGAATGGAGGAGAAGGGATTGAGGCATGACCATCCCCCCTGGGGGATGATTTCTCGCTTTCTGTCTCCGTCTCTCTCTGTCTGTCTGGCGAGCGCATGCACCCTAGAGTGAAAAAAAAAAAGAAAGAAAGAAAGAAAAAAACCTCCAAAAAAAATTATCAGAGGAGAATAATGTCCTTCTCTTTGACCCTAATTTCTAACATCTCCACGGGAAAATGCAAACTACTGTATCACATCTGGGCTTTATCCAACTCTGCCATGCATCTGTAATATCTGAGTTATTATAGTTATGCCTAATGATATGTTTACCCACAGACAACCTGTGTTTGGTGCATCCTTTGTTGGTTTCAATAATGGAGTGCACTTGTTAAAACCTTCACTCTGTCAACATGTGTTTGTCTCAGAAAAGGGTTAGACAATATGAAATTTAATTTCATGGGTGTTTCTGTCCTCATTAATTTAGTTTGGGCTCATTTAAAACTTGCCATTTCTGTAATGTAAGCATAATGTTATACAACTAAATGTATGTTTATGTTATTTTTTCTATGACTACCAAGTGTTAGTGACATGATATGCCACACCTTCTTACTTATTATTACCCATTTCTAATGCGACTCATTTTGTATGAGCATAAGCAATACACAAGTATTTAATGAACAAAATTTGCACATTTTTCTTAGTAAGATTATTGACACAAAATGGCTGAGTTAAGAGATGTGTTTGGAGCCAGTGAGTGGTGTAGTGGTTAAAACAGCTAGATCTCATGTCACTGACTGTGTGCTTTGAGTCCTGAACATGGTGGCTTGAGAAACACATTGGGCACATATACATGAATTATCAAAATCCCAAAAAGAGGGGAAAATTGAGGAAGGGATTGTGGGATTACTATCCTCCATAGAGAGTGCTTTCTATGTCTCTCTCTGGTGAGCACTTTAACATCCATCTAGAAAATTTTAAAAAATGAAAAAATATTTCTTTTTTCAAAAACCTTTTATTAACATTTA